CCTTTCTCCTCTGATTGTGTTCTTCTCCATGTTATACATGATATGTGATGTATGAAAAAGAAAAGTGGAGATACAAAACAAGAAATAAATTTAGAATGAAAAATTTTGTATGGTAAAATGCATTGGACCCAGTTTTGTAATTGAAATTGAATTGAAAAGAATGGTTTCAAGAACTTGTTGCATAACTCAAAATTCATGCATCTCATGCTATATCTTTTCTCTGTTTAACAAGCAATCAGAACCAAACTCCTAAACTTGTTTAGTGAAGGAGCCAAGCTTGAGCCTGGGTATACTATGCTCAGTTTCATTCATCTAATGCCCTAGAGATGGTTTGAACAAGAAGTCTAAAACCTAACTGAGGAACTAAATGATAGTCTGTTGACTATCTAAGGGCGTTTTGGTTTCTAAAGCTTAATTTGCATGATACCCAAGCAAGCATGAAATTAAGATGACTATTGACTAATTAACAACCCTAGCTGAATGATATTTTTGTACATATTAGTGTTTAATTGTTTGCAGCAAGAGCAATATTGTACACCATTGTCATGGGAAGAAAGGAAAAATTAATGCTCAAAATTTTTATGAAATGAATAATAAGTGGGGTTTTGGAGGAAACTTAAAACATTTAATGGTGATTTTGCTGAATTCAATACCTGTATTGGAGTTGAAATGAATTTCGGAGTCCAAAATATTGGAATTGGAGTTAATATTAGCATCTTAGGTAATCTTCATTCGGCATTTTTTAAGTTTTCGTGTCTTTCTTTTTTTCCCATAAGAAATGTATCTCATAACCCTCTGCCATGCAAAATGGAGAAACGTGAGGGCAATACTAATCTTGCTTTCTTTTCTCTCTTCCATTTTTTTTTTTTTTTTGGGTATGTAGCGATAGTAATCTTTTATTTGTATCTTCCCTCTATTATCTATTTTAAATATAAGTTTCCAATCCTTTAGAATTAATTGATTTCTCAAATTTACTTATAAAATGAATCAAGATTTGATTTGTATATTTAAATTAATGTTATCATGATAATTCTCAATATTTTACCATTACTGTTATCCTCTACATCCCACCCATTATAAATATATTATGATATATGTCACTTATATTCTCCATATGCTTGATTTTACAGCTTTACTTTTCATCTTTATTCAAAACTAGGCAAGTCTCATAAAACACTAAAATTACCATTTTAACATGTATTTTTTTTTCAGGCCATCTTGACATGTATAAACTTCGAGTATTTTCAAGTTGTTATGTCATATGAAATATTATAATTGTTAGTTTTTATCATTTTTAATGCTCATTATAACTATTGTTAATGATCAATATAACTTCTCCTTTTACCCTCTCATATTTCCCCATCAATCCAAGTCTTTGTTAATCATATGAGCTCTACATTTATCAATGTCATTCATTCCTGCATAGAATGAGCACCAAAGCAACATGGCTAATTAAAAAGAAAAAGAAAAAAAGAAAAAGGCAACTAGATTCTCCTCAAAGAGGCAACAAATGGAATCTTCCTACCTATAAATATTCAGAAAAATTGAATTTCAAAATTGCAGTCATGTAAACATACAAAGGAGTTTCTTTTTTGGAGTAGACCTTCATCATGCAACTTTTATTTCTGGCCCCTGGCTCTATAGAAATGCTCTTCAAGAGCAAAAGGATTCAAAAACAAGCAAGAAAAAGGTTCGAGGATAAAGATCCCACTGGCAAAATCAACTTGACTATGGGTTTGTATATGATAAATGGTCAAAGCAAACAATGTTAAAAGTGCTCACCTCTTGCAAGATACAGAGAACTGTGATAGCTAGCAGTGTTGTTGGTATTCACTCTGTTTTGCCATCAGACAATTTGGAAAATGTAGAAGTTAGGAAAACTGTATTGAAGCTTGGTACCAGTAGCATTTCCTATCCAACGACTTCTGGCCTAAATCCAGATTCCAAGTTGATGAGGTATTGCGCTATGCACCATTAGATGACAATTCAGCACATTTTCCAACCCCTAAAACCTTTGTCAATGAGCTTAATATACATTTCATCACCAATAGTCCGCACAAGAACACACCCCATCTTTAAAATGATGGAATCGATTAGCATCTCTAACCACAATGACTCTCTCAGTAACCTTGGATATAAATTTAGTTGCAGTATGGCAGTCTAAACAAACTCTGAGGTTCTTAATAATCCTAATTTCAGATCCTGGTTTGGTAGCAATAAGACCAAAAGCAATGGCCAATTTCTCACTATGAACATTTACCATTAGCTCCTTCTCTTCTTCCTCCACATCATGCAAAGCTGTCTCAGTCTCTGCCTGATATCCTGCTTCCTTCATCTTTCTTGTAAGTTTCTCTAGCATAGCATAGATTGCTGCTGCTTGAGGATGGGACCGATCACCAGATGTAAAGACTTGTGGTGTTTCATCAACCTCAATTAGAGTGCACCCTGGTGTCTTTGTCAGATTTCTCATCTTAACTACTTGTCGGACTGAAGCAGCCTGTCGATAGTTTCTTCCAGATGAGTATACATTAGAGAGTAAAACATAATAACCTACATTTTCAGGGTCCAATTCAAATAACTTGTCAGAAGCCACACGAGCTAGGTCAGTGTCTTTGTGGATCATGCAAGCACCAAGCAATGCACCCCATTCAGCTGAACCAGGCTGAACTGGCATTTCGTTTATAAATTGTAAGGCCTTCTCTAGTTGCCCAGCTCTGCCAAGGATGTCAACCATGCAGGCGTAGTGTTCAGATAGGGGCTCAAAGTGATGATCATGAGCCATAGAATGGAATATTTCCTCTCCTTCTCTCACCAGGCCAGCATGACTGCAAGCATACAGGACTGAGAGAAAACTAACTCCAGTTGGTGATACCCCAGAATGCAACATCTCAGAGAAAAGCCTAATTGCTTCTTGCCCTTGCCCATGGAGGCCATAACCAGAAATCATTGCATTCCAAGTCACTTCATTCTTTTCTGGCATTAAATCAAATAATTGTTGAGCTTCTACAATGCTGCCACACTTTGCATACATATCAATTAAAGCAGTTGACACAAAAATATTAGACTCGAAACTCTTATCTTTAACCAGGCCATGCACCCATTTGCCTAGACTTAGAGCTCCAAGTTGAGCACAGGCTGAAAGGATACTTGTGACTGTGACAGGATTTGGGCTAATTTCGGACATCTGCATATGCTGGAAAAGTGAAATAGCTTCTTCTGTCAAGCCATTTTGGGTATAGCCTGAGATCATTGCATTCCAAGAAGCCAAACTTTTCTCTGGCGACTCATCAAAAAGCTGCCTCGCACATTTAATTTCATTTAGTCTGCTATAAACAGTGGTCAATGCTGTTGAAACAGAAGAATGTGATAGAATACCTGATTTTGTACAGAAACCATGTATACATTGGGTAAGATTTAAATGACCAAAGGGAGAAAACACAGGAATCAATCCAACAATTGTGCTTGAGTTGACCTTTTCTCCATAAGAAAGCAATTCTTTAAACAGTCTAACAGAAGACTCAGTTTCACCATTGCTTGTGTACCCAGAAATCATGGCATTAAAAGCTACCAAATCCGGTCTGCCTATATCTCTAAACAATAACCTGGCTGCGTCAATGTCCCCACATTTTGAATACAGCGAAATCAAACCTGTAAGGACATGAACATTAGAATGAAACCCAACCTTTACAGCCAAACACTGAATTTCCATTCCCATTCTCAACTCCTGCAACTCTGCTACAGCTGGAAGAACAACTGCTGCAGTCGTTGAATCCGGCCGAATTCCACCAACTTTAATCATATCTCCAAAAATCCGAAGCGAATCCTCGAAACACGAGTTCTTCATGAATCCAGATATCATCGTATTCCACAAAACCGTATCTCTCATAAGAATTTTATCAAACACCTTCTGTGCCGAATCAGCGCGTGAAAACTTGAAGTAGAAATCAACCAAAGCGGAACCCACGAATAAATCCGATCCATACCCATCAATAATAGCATGCCCATGTAACAAAAGACCGAATTTCTCATCCAAAGGCTCCGAAGAGGCAGAAATAGCAAATGCGTAAGTGAAATTGTCAGGCTTGAGTTGGGTACCCTTCCTCAAATGGGTGTAGAGCGAAATGGAGTTGTGGTCGGAAAAGCCTTTGATGAGGACGTTGAAGAGGAAGAGATCGGGTTTGGGGGTGGAGAGGAAGAGGTCTTGTGCGTAGCGCATGGCATGGAAGTCGAAGAGCTTGTGGGTGAGCTTGGTGATGGTTGCGAGTTCATTTTGAAGGCCGTGGACGATGATCTGGGCGTGGGTTTGGGTGAGATGGCAGAGGGCGCTGGCTCTCTTGAGGAGGCTGAGAAAGAAGTTCGGATTCCTCGGCGGCGTGCAAGTGCTAATCATCTGGGCAACATCGATTTC